ATATATTTGTTAACAAAAATATTTTCTGTAGAAATATATTATAATATAAATAACATTATTAATAGTCCCTTTGTATAAATAATAATTATTTAATCGATGTAAACGATGTCATCGTTCTTTTGATTTAATCGGACGATTAATAATTATCTGTATTAACTAACGATTAATTGAGCAATCGAAGGATTAATTGAGCTTGACTCAGAAATATGGTAACGTTTCCTCCAGCATTGAACAAATCGAAAAATGCCAAGTGTCAGCCAAGTGTCATCAGAAAGAATCAGGCACTTTGATTAATATTTCACTGACAATTAGCGTTGAACGAACAGGGTAACGATTTAAAAGAGAATAAGAAATAGTCTCAAGGGATATACCATTCAGTAACGAAGATTTCTGTGCACATTAAAACGTCGATTCACTTTCTAAGCTGGGTTCCTGCTTGAACATCCTGAATCCAGTAACGCTGGTCACGTCCTCTTGGGTCTGTATAGGCGTCAGATCCCTCAGGATCATCACAGGACTGCCGCCAGCCAGTAAATGATCCTGGGGGCTCAGGGGAGGCGCGTTAGCCGGTGTCAGAGGACTGCTAGGACTCTCGTTGCTGCTCACGTAGCTGCCAGGCGCGTTCGAGTTTTGAATCGGAGTCACGGCGCCGTTTATCTCCGCCGTGGCACCGCCTAGCAGCATCTCCTGCAGCAGGTTGTCGATGTGGGCCACGCCGAACAGCCGCACGAATTGGATCTGCTCGATCATCTGCCAGGATATCGATTGAAGGGCCGGCAGCGTGAGCAGGATCTCCCCGAAACGGCCCCGACTGTCGTACTGCCTGTCGCTTATGTAGTCCTCCAGGTTGATCTGGATCTGGTAGCGCAGCTGCTTGATCCGCTGTGGCTCGCTCAACCCCTTCGCGTCTGGTGACAAACGAAATTAAACTAATGATAAATACGATAATTCTACACGTATTCCGTCGAATTTATTTTCGACACAATTCTATTTACTTTATTATTACTACTACTCTATTTGATTAATAATATATTTTCTACAACAGCAGAGAATAAGAGGATTGCAATTCGTTTCGTTTCGGTGACGGTGACCGCGCCGATAGTCAATTAAGAATAATTGAGACAATCGTTCTCGCGTGCCGATCTCCGGCGAATGACACGCAAATTTTATGATCTACAGTTATAAACAACGTAATGCAATTTTCTAGTAATTTAAGTATAACTGTATACTAACTGGGATCGAAGAAAACGATGGCTTTGAGGCAAGCGAACTCCGTGTCGTCGATTTGGACCTCGTTCAATGGCTTCACCAGCTCGTCCATCACCCTGATGCCCACTTTACTGATGTCGAGGTCCTGGTTCCGGCCCTCTGAGGACAGAGATATCACTGATAAACACGGTTAAACCGTTCCTATCGGTTTACCGTCGAAGGACTGAGCCCGGATCGGAGGTGGTCGGGTCAACGCCGGAATTATCAGAAAACCAACTTATACAAAGTCAAGAAGAAAGATAATACGAAAATCGTAAACTGTTTCAATTGTTAGAAGAAAGTAGTTTTTAAAATATTTTACAAAATACGAAATAGTGTACAGAGTGAATATAATTATTTTGTATTAATAACTAGAGTATAATTAATATACAGAATTAAATTGCAATGAGAAATGATTTCTGTGATCTAATTTATTTTTAAGTAGGTTGATAGTTCCAGCGTTAACAGCTACAGAAGCTTGTTTAGGAAGAGAGCCCCCAACGAATCCCAAACCTGATAAAACTTCTTGGTTCTGCACTCATGCTGGTGCCTACTATTATACTTAAATGGCAACGTGAAGACCGGACTCAGTCTATTAACTACCATTCCCTTCTCCCTTACGTGCAGTTCTTTTTACTTTTATTATTAACGACACAATCGATGATTTAAAAATAAATGTACAAAATTATTCAAATTACTTCATCGATTGTCTCGTCATTAAACTCGACCCAGTTTTATAGAATACATTGTAAATGTTAAACGAACAGAACTGATCCACAGAAATTCGACTAAAGAACCAATCAATGATCCTAAAATTATTATTAAACCCACGATTTTAAGAACGTACTTAGTCGAACTTTTGTGGATTCACAAAGAAGTTAGTCAACGTTATAATAAATAAATTAACACGCTGCTAGCATGCAACTGTCTACTGTTATTCACTCACCAATATCCTAACTAATTACGACAGACCTGTTTCATTTGAGAAAGTTTGCAATTAAAAGAATGAAGTGTTTTTTTAAGCTACGAGATTCTATCGATATAGAAAGATTATGCAAATTCACCACTGAAGACTGGAAAACATTTTAACGAATTGTATCAGTTTAAGAATTAGTCTTCGTTGAAATCTAATCTGTCGATGACATCGATGAAATAACAATCGGTATCATCTATCTCCTGGATAATAATATATAGCATTTCACAACCGTTTTATATTGTACCAACCGTTATCATTTAATCAGATACGCGTTTAAAAAAATATTTTGGAGTGACTGATAAACGATAAGACTGGGTTTTCTTGTTAGAAAGCAGTCTTCCCTTTCCTTCTTATTTAAAGATAAATTTCGAGGCAAATAAAATTCGTACGAAAATACTTTTAATCACTAAAATTAATCTCGCATCTTGTATCGACACAATTGAACAGCTATTCTAAAGCCAGATGTTCTTTACTTATCTCTTTCTTTAATCCTAATATATTTAATCTTGCATAAAACTCTGCGGTCTACTAATTAATAATCTAATCTGATCAAACGTTTCATAATCGAGGGACAGTAAAGTCTTGGAAGGAAACCAACAACCCTTTCCGATTAGTGGACACGTCGGAGGCAGAAATATGGCATTGACAGACGTACCAGGACAGTTCTTGGTGATGATACAGTTGTTCCCGAGTAGGAGCACGTCTTTGAGTTGCATGCTACGCCTGGCGACGCCGAGGAGGAGATGTTCGCCAGCGTGCGCCCTGAGGAGAGCCACCTGATCGTCGAGGGTCAGCTCGCTGAACGCCGGTATATACTTGGCCCACTCGACTAGTATCAGAAGCTGTTGCTTCATGCTGTCGCAGACGTCGTTTATGTTCGCTATTTGCTTCGTGGTCAGGTCTATGTCGCCGCCCGGGCTGCCTAGCTGTTTGAACGTAAACTACGATCACCCATTTGCACTTTACAGAAGATATTCTTTATAAAGAATCGTCGAGTAACGAAAATGGCCTGAAAGTTCTTTGTATATATTTTTAAACCGCCTCGAATTGACCGGAGGTCATAAAAACGACAAGGTGTCAAGGAAAAGAGAGGAAAAATTACCGGATGCCTGGCCGTCAACGACATTTGCATTAATTAAGGTGAGGTGGCCCTCTCCCCTCGTTATTCTCTCACGGGCCTCGTTAATTATTGATTCTCACCGGTTCGACGATTATGCAGCCGAATTGAAATACGTTTGATTAAAACCGAGGGGAGACGACGACGACAAAAGCGGACGACACGTTCACTCGAATTTCGTATGCCGACTTCCAATCGAGGAACCAGGAAAATATATATTAGATAACGGAATAAGTTCGACCAATTTTTTTCTTATTATTAAAGCCACGATCAACGAATCGACGAATCTTTAACATATTTAGTCAAGTTTCTAAGTTAGAAATTATTTGATTATGAATTTTTAACATTTAATGAACTTATATATAAACGCATAAAACCTGCGGTTTAGTTAATACTAAACAATAGTTAAATAATAACTGACCTCGAGTGCGGCGCCGACTTGTCTGCTAAGCATTTCCGCTTGGAGAAGGGAAACCACGGATAATCCACTACCATTGCTACTCTGTTCCTCATAGCTGGGCCTCCTACAACTTATTCGATCCCTTTCGTTCTGAACGGCTAGAAGCAAATAAAAACGAAAAGATCAGTGAATCGTCGGTTTACCTTAATAAAACAGGAGACCGTAAAATAGTCATTGACTGACTCGAATTCGACACTTTTGTAACGCTTATATTATCAGATAGCAACGCAGCCTGATTTAACACGTTTAGATTTATTATACAAAAAACAAAAATTAGATAATCTAATCGATTCAATGTTTTTTACAATTCATAACACGATTTTAGTTAAACATCGACCTCGATAAAAAGCTCGTTAACAAAATATTAAAACTCGACTGACGCAGTTTCATTAGCAACCGATCTAAAATGATGAATCTATAATTACAGTCAATTAAAACTATTAAAAGCTTGTTAAAAATTAACCATGACTAAGAAAGAAGAAGAAAATTCAATTATAAAATATGAGGAAAAGTTGCGGGTCGATTAGCCAGCAGTTAATTATTTTTCTGTTAAATTCCTATCGACGCTTTTCCGCGAAGCAAAATTGAATTCTTATCACTGGGAGAATGTATGTTTCAGTTCACGTTTTGCCTTATATTTACGCGAGTACGTCGGTATTTTTAATTTAACGAGCATATTTTTTCAACTCGCTCGAGGGAAAAAAGACTGGCACAAATATAAACAGAACGAATCTAGTTTCTTTATAACGGCGCGATACGAGTTTATTATTCCGCAGAGGTGGAGACTATTAACGACTGAAACGACTCAAGGTGAACCACCGTTAAACTTTACCGAAAACGGCGATCGCCGACTGGTTTAGCTGCTATAACATTTCCGAAACTGTATACGCTCAAACGTTTTTCTCCTTACCAGTGAAGTTAAGCTGAAGTTTCAATTAAATACGCGAGGGAGACTGAACAAGGAGTTTTAATTGAAAAAGAAGAAACGACGATGGCTTATATAGAATCGTGAGTTCTAGTTTGGTCTATTCGATAGACGGAGAAAGTTTCTTTTAATCAAATCAGCAAATTATTAATACTAATTAATATTTAGTAAACCGAAGGAGTCCTGAGGAGTCGGATAACAGAGGCTCACCTATTGTCCCCACTCGGTTATGTTTTTAAAAAGAAAGAACGAATCTCGATGGTTGATCAATAAGAGGACAATCTCTGATCAATAAATTGTTATTTATGATTTTTCGTACCTTCTTTCTTCATGCCAGCCTTGAAACATTTTCTTAATCTGCAGTACCTACACTGGTTCCTCTTGTCTTTGTCTACTACACAATTTCTACTGAATCTGTAACAAAAATATGCAATCCCACGTTATTAGATTATTTCCTAAGTCCTGAAATCGACTTAAAATTATATTTCCTGACTGACATGCCATATATTCTTTAAATATTTAAACTCATTTTAAATTCATGCAATTTCGTATCCTCCTAATTGAAATCTATTATAAAACTGCAAATCTCCAAACTGTAGTAAAGATCGAAAGTTTTCCGGCATGAATCATACACACATTTTCACATATCCACGTACAAAGTTAAACATTTGAAAGCGATTCGAACTTATTTTTAGAAGCTATGGCCTGTGTTAACTACATATATCTAGCATATCAGTTGTTTGATTAATGGATTCTAGTGGTGATAATGATCCTCGATAACATGCTCCATCGGTTTGGTAACATTGAAAACATTTTGGATGATATCTCGTGTCAGCAACGTTAAATAAACGTGGAGTCATCCGGAGGAAATCTAATTTTACGACGTTCGTTACCATAGATTCTAATTTAAATACAATGAAATTGGAACGAGAACAAACAGCATTTCTAATCGAACATGAAAAACAGATTCGACAAAATTATCTTAAAGCTATTTCTGATCCTCGATTTAAAAACTCGATGAATTAACGAAATTCTAAAATTCTAAAACGTAAACGCGTAATTAATCAAACATCTACCATTAAATAACTTTATCTAAGACCAACAAGAGTCTGATAAAAAAAATAATTAGAAACGATATACATGTACGTACATATGCGTACAAGGCATGTACATGAAATTGCAACTGCAAGTTTACATTTTTCGATAACCTTTCCAGATTTGCAACACGGCCTTACGT